CCTCCTTCGTCACATAAATCAACTCTTACTTTCCACACACCACCATAATAAGGACCTGCCAAAATCATTAAAAAGATAAAAAGACTATAATTGAAAAAGGAAAAAGAGAGTGAATAATACATAAATATTATTGACTAATGTTCGATTACAAAAACCAAACAAAAACATTAAACTAACCTCCTCTACAATATCCAGCCATCAACATGTATTTGGAAAAGAAATAATATATCCTATATATATGGTAGTGTTCTGTACAATAACGGACCAAAGCATCAAATTTGGCAGCATACTCTGCCACTATGTTATTTCCTTGATTTAGTTCAAGAAACTCCATTTCTTTCCTACTCCTCACATGATCCAGGAAATACTTCTCAAGAAAAGCCTTCTTGAAGTTGTCCTAATTCAAGTGCACCCCTCCATCAATTATCCTCCGAAGTGCTCCTTCCCACCAAAAGAGAGCATCAGCAGTCAACATGATCCCTACCATGTACCGAATACATTATACATTATATGTGATACTAACTCTCACTTGATTTATTTAATTAAATGAGTCCAAAATTGTGATTGGTTTATTTGAAAATATAACGTTTACTTTTGACTTGTTTATAATGTTGGTAATTTCTACGGTGAGGACTTAAAAAAAACCCATTATTTATATAGGGTTATTTTTAACATTTAAATATATTATTAAAATAAATAAATAGTAATAATATACATAAAAATATTTCAATTTTTGGATTACAGACTGATAAGACTAAAATTTGAGATTGGAACTGGAATGGAGCCTGATACTTGCGGATTAGAATGACACAATTTTTTTTATATCTTTTGAATAATAAAAATTAAAAACACTCAAACAAAAACAGCAAACAGAATATGCATAAAGGATTTGAGAATTGAAATTAACAGCACCACCAGCTCTCAGGGTAGCGACAAAAGATCCTAAAAATGTTTCAGTTTTCATCTTCTCATAGATTGTGAAATTACTGGTGCTACTGTAACTCCTTGCCCTTGTCTTTCCACGTTGGCGTCCCAGCCTAAATATATTTCAACAAGAAGTCAGTTTCATATCATTTTGAATGAGAAAGAAGTGCTCAGAAATAACCATCAATGATCAAACTAAACCTACAAAGTGGAATTTTATGTTTCATTTGTTACCCTTTTGTATCGGCACGTAGAACTCTAGCTCAAAGTAAGATCTAAAGGGTGAAAGATGACAAAGATTTAATTATATCAAGACAGCTCAAATGATTAATTCTAATCATGGAAAAAAAGAAGTCAATCTATCACAAAATAAAACATGTAATTTTTCATCCGTCCAATCAGATTCAATAAAATAGTACCTCAAATGTTTTTTTTTTTATCTTGTTCTCTAATTAAAAGTGGAGATGCAATCTTGTCCCAAAGAAAATTCATATAATAGATCAAGCTAATTATAATAGTAATTTGTAAACTGCACTTATAGAACAAAGATTCAAAGGCGTTATTAGCCAGCAAACCCATATGATATCTGACAATTCACCAAGATTCTCACCCTCGTACATAAAAAACAAAATTTGAAAAGAAACATGGAGATTAGTGGGGAAAAAAATAGGATCATCAAGAAAGTAATTAAAGATCCTGAAATTGATGAAATGACACTATATTTGTCGATCACAAATTAGAGATATTACCTATGCTCAAGTCAAATCCCCGGTTTTTAAGCTCTCTATACTCTTGACATAGAGCACAAGTTTCACAACAGAAATGAACTAAACAGTCCATACAAGGAGCCTCTGGTAAGTTATATTGTGCCCTCAATTTGGACCGATAATAGCACGAATACAAGCATGCAAGCCCAGTCAGAGATAGTAGCGTCCCATAAATAGCCCCATGACAAGTGCAAGCTGCAAATATTGAAACAAAAAATAGCAATAGATATAACCATTGAGTCATCCCCTCCTATATTGTAATGATCATAGAGCTTATTTGGACATTAAACATATCCGGAAAGACTTCTATCAAGAAAAAATTGAAAGAACAAGTGAAATATGTTTCTTCATAAACTAAAATTAACTTATTTATAAGCTATAATTTATAAGAATTCTTTCATATAAATTTTCCAAAAAATTACAAATAAACTTATACATAAGTTAGTGTTAGTTTATAGAGAAACTTATTTCATTTTTTTTCTTCTAGAAGTGTTTTTATAGAAATTTATCCAAATATGCCCATAATATATGTATATATAATGTTTAATATAAAAGCTTACTTGTATTGCCTTTATCTATTATCTCAGCAATCAATCCAAATGTAACGCAAGGGCAGAAGCAAGTGACGAAACCTTAGAAAATGAACAACCATATAGTGTGTCAATTGCTTGATGTTTATACCGCAGAAAAATAATGAATCCACATGATTTTTGGGTTCTTACAGCTTCCAGGATCATCAAGACAACGGCAAAGACCAGTTGACCATCTGTGTGTGTTGACACTGCCACTGGTGGTGATGTATGGAGGAGCATAAGGTTGTATTGGTTGTGGAGTGCCATAACTTGGAGGCACCACTGGTATAACATAGTTTGGATGGCTATGATGAGCTGGATATACCTCATCATGTTCATTCACTATAGGATACATTTTGTTGCAAATACTTACTGTAATGCCTCTAACTAAGACTAACTTCTATAGCTTGTCTTGGTATATAAATTGCAGGAACTTAATAATTAAAAGAAGTTACTCCGCATTTTAATTATCTGATTATTTTAATTGTCAGAAGTTGCAAAGAAATGTACCAATTAGTGATGAGTATATATTGAAATATCAACATAAATAATAAGAAAATGTCCTTTGATGTCAAGTAGATTAAGATAAGATCCTTACATTGCCATGCTCCTTCTTTAGGATTTAAGTTGATGTTTCCTCGAAAATCTTACTGAAAAAGGATTGGAAGAGAAGACAATTTGTGATTACATGATACATGTCTTGACTTGGACATGGTCAGGGAACATCTCTGACTCCAGAATAATATATCATTTGCAATGATGCAAGCTGAAAAACCATGCACCAATGATTAATCTGCCACAGGGTAATATGAATCATGAGGACCTACAATGGTTTACCAGACAAGGATAGTCGTGTTAAAATAAATAACAAGTCAATATGAATCAGTTTCAAGTAGCAACTTTCCTACAAGTATGTAGTTTTTATATCAATACAAACAAATTATTCAACAACCTTAAATCTTATAATATCTTCAACAACCGAAGGTTGTAATTTATTATGTTTTGTGTTCAACAAAATAAAATATAAAAAAAACTATAATTACTTCCAATGTGTAGAAGCTTCATAAACGAAAAATTATTATATTTTTGAAAAGAAAAGCGACTCCACTGGGGATCGAACCCAGAATCTCTGGTTCCGTAGACCAGCGCCTTATCCATTGGGCCATGGAGTCAAATTTTGTTGAGAGTGGGATTTGAACCCACGCCCTTTCGGACCAGAACCTTAATCTGGCGCCTTAGACCAACTCGGCCATCTCAACTTCATGGTAGGTTTTGCTCCAAAATGATATTTGTTATATTATAACAGTATCAGCGACACTTCAATTTAAATATCACTTCGAGTTGTTCTATAATCTTTCGTAGATTCCCTCTCACTTTCCTAGCCATATTTTTTTGAAAAACATAGAAGAGCAAAGCTTGATACACCCTATCTAATTCACCATATTTGTGTTTGACAATGTTATACCAAATTGTCTAATTATCGTGTAGACAACATCGTTTCTACTTTGCAAGCAGGTTAAGATTAAACACCAATTAAGTTTTTACCCCTAGAGCTTCCTATTCTTTGGGCTGACAAATTTCATCTAATTCATGTAATTTTTTTAGCTTCATCCAACCCACTTTCAAAATTTTCGTTGAATACCCGCTAGTACCTAAGCCACTTTTTTTTTTTGAAACAGCCAATAATATATTGAATATGTGGCATTAGGGGTGCCACAAACCCACAATTACAGTGAAAAACAAGGTAAGGCTTCGTTCACCTTACTAGCCGATGTGGGACTTCACAATCATCCTACATAATCCCTCACTTAAATTGAAAAGGATCACAAAATTAATTCAAACATATGGGTACTGGCAAACCTATGATGGTATGAATAGTGGTCATGAGACCCTTAACAATTCCAGATCTATCCAACCTATAATGTACAAGAATAGAAACCTGGGCATTTTGAACTATCCTCAATGCCTCTAGTCCTCTCTGATGATTAGATGTGGTAGCCCATCAACATCGCACAACAAACCCTAATTCTCGTAGTTGTTGAATCTCCACTTCGTCTTCTCCACCAATGTCTTAATCGCTTCAACTATTTGCACGGCGTCATCCCTGAGATGTCCATGGTAAAGGAGAGTGGCACCGAGAGGAAGATGAAGGAGAGGGAAAGTGCAATGGAGAATGTCTTCAAATCAAGGGAGAGCGAGAAGAGGGTTCAACGAGGATTAGAATGCACGAGGAGACGCTCCACCTGCTTTGGCTTCTTTGTTCTAGGGTTTTGCGACAAATATGCTCACTTCGCCACCATAGACGACGAACCTTCCACCGCAAAACTATTCGTAGCCATAGTTGTTGGTTGCCACTACCACTACTAGAAAAATGGAAATTAGAGACGGAAAAAATCCGTCACAAAATTAAAGAAAATCCATCACAAAATTATTAGTGACGGAATTTGTGACGGATTTTGGGTCGTCAAAAAAAATGGCGTCACAAAATATTTAGTGACGAAAAATTCACTCTGTCACAATTAGTGACGGAAATATGTCGTCACTAACTAATAAATTTTCCGTCGCAATTTGTAAGGGAATGCATTCGTCACAAACTAGCCATAAGTCTTCTATCAAGATTCATGCAAAAGCCAAGTCAAATTCACTATGGAACAGGAAAAAGAATATTGAGATACCTACAAGGGACAAGGGAGTTTGGTATATGGTATAAAACCATGACCAAATCAAGGATGATTAGCTATATCGACAGTGATTGGGCAGGATCAATAGACGACATGAAGAGTACATCAAGATATGCCTTCTCACTAGGATCTGGATTTTTCTCTTGGGCGTCAAAGAAGTAAGCAACAGTTGCACAATCAACAGCAGAAGCAGAGTATATAGCAGTTGCTGAAACTACAAGTCAAGCAATATGGCCACGGAGAATACTTGAAGAAATGAGTGAACAATAAGATGGACCAACTGTTATATACTGTGACAACAGATCAACAATAGCAATGGCAAAGAATCCAGTTCATCATCAAAGAACGAAACACATAGCCATCAAATATCACTTCATTAGAGAAGTAGAGACAACTAAGCAAATTCAACTTGAATACTGCTCAACAGAAGATCAAGTTGCAGACATATTTATAAAGGCACTACCAAGAGCAAAGTTTGAACAACTACGGAGTATGCTTGGAATTACCGAAATTTGCATCAAGGAGGAGTGTTAAATTATGATGCAAATTCTAGGTAAGAAAAAGAAAATTCTAGAATCATAAGATAAGATATAAGAAAGAAAAAGAAAATTCTAGAAATATAAGAAAAGATGTATAAGTCTCTAGAAAAAACTAAAAGAGTGTAGAGACTTGAAGAGTCTAGAAAATTCTAGATAATCCCACCATCAGCTAGAGATGGAACACCATGCCTATAAATAGGCAAATTGGGACTTCATTATAACAACAACAATTACCATTAATACTACTACTTTCTAAATACAAATAAGTTTTTATTATTCTACCAACTATTTCCTTGACAATTATCATATAATAACAATAACTTTAATCGTATGTCATGTAAATCACTAGAGTCAATCTAGAGATAGGAGTTGATGCACTAGGATTTGGATTTGATCTTACTATATCGTAATTTTCATTGCTGATAAAAAACTGACATGTAGAGATTATAGCGTGACCATGATGATCACTTATCAATTTCTGCTAATTTTAAGAGGACTAAGTTATACTGAAGAATTAAAATTGAATTTTGCAAAAAATGATATGTAATGTCCTGACACTTAACTTGCTTCCGCTCCTCAGGTTCAGAGTCCTTGCCAAAGTATTCTTGCTCGTGCAGGGTGCACCAACCACTATAGTACTGACACGATTTCTTTGTGCATATTCCACAATTCCTCTTACAATATCACTATCATCGATTACGGCTTCTTTCAACTTAACCTGAGTTAACGTGCAAAATCATTAGTTTGGAAGTTGCAAGTATCACCAACACCATTTGGTTGAATGCAACAAAAAAGGAAGTGCTTCAAACAATTTATGATTTGATAAGAGGTATTCTAATTAAAATCTTCTTCATAATCTACTAAACAAATTAAACTATAAATTAACTTGAACTCAAGTATCAATTACATACGACGTTGGGCTGACACAGTTGACGCAAGGGGTTGAAAACATGGGCTATATCCTCTTCTTCGGGAGGAAAAACATTGGTGCCCTCTGCATGAATAATCATAAACAATAAGTAACACAAATGATTATATCACCACAGAATGTCACGTAAAAATAAGTTTAATCGAATATTTGTTCCCATTTTCTCCATTTTAAGTTTTAGTCTGCATTCAAAAAAACTATGTAACATGCATGCAAATTAAACTTTGGTCCTTATACGTAAACATAAGCCAAAACTATCTCGTGATATAAAAATAAAACCATGCAAAATCATTTTGGCAGCAATAAACTGTTATTATAATGGTACAAGGGATAATTTCACATGGTTTAAGGGTCGAAGTCGAAACTAAAACATCTATTGTCAAAATCAAAATAGACAATATTTAAAGGATGCCAACAAACTTGAAAATCCTTTACTTTCAACCATTGACTTGTTTTAGTTTGCTTTTGTATTGGATAACGCAAAACTTGTACTCAACGTCATTCTAATGGATTTCCAAACCCCATAAAAGTAAAAGGAAGGTGAAAATCGAAGAAGAGTAAGTACGTGCATGTAAAAAAATATGAGGGTACCTACGATGAGGAAGGTTTTTGTGCTTGACATGGACCGCAATGATGATGGGGTTGTCGATATGTTTAGTGGTCCATTTGAAGGCGTGGACACTGTTCTTGTCTTTGTCAACGGCGACCATGGTGACGTTCAAGGGTGGCGTGGTGGCAGCGCCATGGGAAGACATTTTCTACCACCTCCTGCTCCACCGCGAGAAGGAGGAGGAGAAGAGAAGCTTGGCAATGGTTGGTTCCTTTCTCTTGCGATGATCGGAAAGATGGAAAATGGAACAACCCATGCAAACCTCATCGAAGGTCGTGACTCAAACATACGGACACAACTAAGGTTTCAACCTCATCCTTTCGTTTTTTAGGCGCTTTGACTCGGCCTGACCCAATAACGGACAGTTTAACTCTTTATAATTTATCCTTTTTCTTTCCACGTTTCTGTTCTCATTTTAAATAATAGACTATGATTAAAATAATTAATCTATACGAGATACTTCTTTTATTAATAATATTTAATACATTATCATATTTTTATTATTTAAAAATAATACATTTATCAATCTCAAGATTCAAATTTAAAATCTTTAAAATATTATTAATCATTAGTTATTTATTTAATTATTATATAAAAAAAATATCTCGACTGTCATATGAAAAAAATCATAATAATTAATAAATTGAGTCACTTCGTATCTTTAATTAAAATCAAGTGATAAAATTTTGTTGATCCAATATAAATAACTTTTTAATTTTAAAAAATTGAATTTGATAAAAAAAATATCATTATTTTTAACTTTTTTAATAATAAAAATATATAATAATTTATTAAATATAAAAAAGGAATTTCTTATGTGTTTTGGTGTAAACTCATGGGTTCCTTGATCTTTTATCTTTATTAGGATGGTTGGTAGGGGAAACCATTCTAATCCTTCTTCAGGCGTGGATGAGCGGCAGATTGCTCAGGCTATGGAGTTAATTGCTGCTGCTATTGGACAACGATGTTGTGTATTTTACTCGTATTTTAGCACTTTAATTCACAAGAAACAGATTGTGACAGAATTTGTGACGAAATATTTAGAGAGGATTAAAATCCGTCACTAAATCCGTCGCAATTTTTTTATTATTAGTAACCCCGTTTGTGACGGAATTGTTAGAGATGAAAATTTTTCCGTCACAAACTCTAAAAATAGGTAGTCCGTCACAAAAATAAAATTTTCGTCACAAAAGTCGTCACTATTAGTGACGACATTTTATCCGTCACAAATTTTCGTCACAAATTTTAATTTTTTTAGTAGTGTACATTGTTTGAGTGTTGTGGCTTAATCCGAAGATCTCAACTAGGTTTCTATGTCGCGGTGGTTTTGTGCGATGGTCGTGGTGAGAGGCTGATAGAGTTGCTCGAGCTCATTGATGAAGGCGAGTATTGAGAACCTCTTTTTGCTCCTTGTTGAGCGGCTTGCAAAAACTTATCAAAGGTCACGAGGAAGGAAAAATGGTAATATGAAAGGCGAGCAAGTCTACATTGGTCTTTAAATAAATTGACGCCAGAATTTACATCATTTTTTTTTCTTAAAACCGATGTAAATATATGAAGTGCGAGTTAATTTACATCGATTCCAAAATAAACCGATGTAGAATATCCTAGATTTACATCATTTTTTCCTTAAAACCGATGTAAATATGTTAGCGATTTATATTTAATTAATAAATGCCACTGCATTTTATTTTTACATTGTTTTTCTGCCAACGTAGAAATGATATCATAAAATAGTATTTTAGTAATAGTGTATTTTTTTAACACTTCCACCATAGACTCCTCCAGTCCTAGATTCAATGTCATGCCTATCTTCAATTCTTTCCTCGATCCTACAGGGATAATCTTTAAGTCTCCCATAGGTTGTGGATGCATGTCTTAGGGACTTTCCCTTGGATTAAGACCCATAGGTTGTATGTGATATGGAGGCCTTGTTACTTGCATAGTCTATTTCCTTCTCACACTATCCTTGTACCATCTCCTAGACACCTTCTGATTAACCCTTATTACACCAACTCCACCATCTTCCAACGAATACTTCATTTTCAAAATTTGTGTAGATATCACCACTTTCAACTTACTTGGAGATGTTCGACCAAGAAAAATGTTGTAAGAAGAAAGAGAATTTAAAACTAGATACTTTACCACAATAAACTTCTTTGATCCATCTATGTTGAATGTGGTATTCAATTCCACATAACCTCTTATCTCCACTTCATGCCCCCCATAAAACCCGCAAGTACTCCATCAAAGGGCTAGAGGTGATCAAGGAGAACTCCTAAGTCGATGAATGCCTCCCAAAATAGGACATTTGTTGAACTTCCTTGGTCCACTAGAACTCTTTCACATTTTGACTCATCATCATATGACATTGATTACAACAAGATCATCTTCACAGGGAAATACTCTTTTGTAGTCATCATCGTAGAATGTATTAGCAACTATCAGACGTCTCTCTTCCACCTTATCAATTGTGAAAATAGAAAGAGCACATCTCTTTCTTGTCACCAATGTATCTAACATAGGATGTTCATGCTCATCCTCCTCCAACTCAAACCTGACCCCCCCGAGGGAGGATTGACCTCTCCCTTATTGGGTCGATCCTATCACCATCTTTATGCCGATCCTTCCTTCTAATATAGTCCCTCATGTGGTCATCCTTAATTAGTCGCTCCATTTGTTTGATAAGTGTAAAACAATCCTCCACATCATGGCCACTATTTTTGTGGAATACACACCAATAATTTCTATCAAAGCCCAAGGTTCAACTTCCCTAAGGGGGAAACTCACCAAGCAAGCCTGATTAACATCTTTGAGAATTCACCACTTGGAAACTCTTAAAGTAGTCAGATTTTGCATCTCCTCATAATCCAACGTTTCATTAAATCGAGGTACTCTTTGGTACTCCCCCCTTCTTGATTGCCTCCCACTTTCTTGCTTGACCCAATCCTTTCTAGGTTTTAAGTGTTAACTCCCCAAAGTCGATCGTAAACCTCCTCCCTCTCTTTTCTCAACTTCTTTATTTTGGGCTTCTTGCTTACGCCTCAATGTGACTCGTAGCTCTCACATGTATCTCGGCCATACTCTTGGCTATTCTATGAACAAGTGATTGCAAGAACTGACTGAACCTTAATATTGTCTACTAATTAAACACCACCACAAACATTCTCTCATCTAAATTAGTGTCTTTGATAATTACCCGATTAAACCTATTCAAATATTCCTTCAAGGATTCATTAGGTAACTTCCCCACATCAAAAAGATTTGTTATTGTTAGGGTCATCTCCTTGTTCCTCGTAAATTGGGCAAAAAGAAGTCATGATAATGCATCAAAGTCAGTGCTTGACTTGTTTGTTAGTCAGCTACATCACTTCAAGGTTGTCATCATGGGTGTACCTACAAACAACTTGCAATAAGTTGCATCATTTCCTCGACCAATCAACATATGAGCTTCGTATGTCATAAGGGTGCTCATCAAGATCTTAAGATCTGTCAAAAGGTTGAATATGTAGTACCACCAGATGTTTTGGTATGATCTCATTTTCAAAAGTCACTAAATAAGGTTGAAAAAGTCTTGATGGTTTTGTTCCTACTTCCATATTGCCTTGGCGTAATGTGGAGATTTGTGCTTGTAAGGCTCCTTGAGTTTTTTTCAGTATCACTTGATAATCTTCATTTTTTTACCTCAACATCTCTTGATCTTCGTGGCGTAGGCCTTCTACATCCTCCACTATCCTATATTTTACTTCATTATCTCTCCTTAGTGTTTCCATGGTAGCCATGATTTCTTGTAACATGGGATCATTATCAACAATCCACTATGTTATGTCGGTGATGTTGCTTTGCTTCCCCTACCCTTCGTCATGCTTATGCATTCTCTTGCCATAGAACCTCCATAAAATCCAAGACTTCTTGCAATGTTGGATTGTTGTCTATGGAACCAGTATACCCCTTACTCCACTAATGTCTTTTCGTCGACACCACTAGGCATGACAATCTAACCCGTCCCCGTTGGTACCCGCCCGAACCCGCCCCGATTTGGACGGGAAAAACCCGTGTTTATCGGGTTCGGGTTCAGGTTCGGGTTTTCCCCGATTGATAAAATCGGGGGCGGGGACGGGGATGTTAATACCCACCCCGCCCTCGCCCCCATACCTGCCCCTGCCCCCGCCCCGCTTAATAATATAATTAAAAAATTATTTTTATATATATATAAACCAAAATTATAAATATTTATATGTAAAAATTTATATTATTTTACTTTTCTTTTATTT